AGAGGGGCTGTGCATACAGAAAACAAATGATGCAGTAGGGGGAGCATTGAGAAAAACATAAATAATAAATGGGAGGAAAGAGTTACTCCGGAAAGAAACATTTAATATAAATTGGAGTTGTACTTAAGAGCTAAGAAGGCTTCCTTGTTTGAAAGTAAAAAATCAGATGATTCATCTTCAAGTTATCATGCTTCTAAGAGATTTGATAGGAGTCTTTTATTCCTGTTTGGATTTGTTAGGTGTTGCAGCCTTGTCCACAGATAAAATTTGGGCTCAGAGTATAAAAACACTGGTAAAATATGTTGTATTCGTATATATATTCTAGAAAATCCTTCATCCTCACAGAAAAAAAATAATTTTTTTGTTTGCATGATCTGTACTCCTGAATTGATACAGCTGTTTCTCTGACACTTTTTTTCATCCATGCAGTTTGAAATAAAGCTTTGGGGGGAAGAAGGGTTTCACAGGTTATTTTAGATCCTGCAGTTCTATGATTGCAGCAGAATATAAACTTTCCTTATGAGCAGAACAGAGCTCTCCAGTTTTTCTTGCTCTCACAGTTACAAAGATTCTGTGGGCAGCATAAGCTAAACGCAATAACTTAGTTGGATCTCCCAAAGTCGTCTTTGGGAGAAGACAGAATAAAACAATATTGCTGTTAAATATTTGATCTACCTCTTACTTAATTGTAGCACAACCTGAACACAATGTGACTAATATATAAAATGGAAGTCTAACTTGGTAAAAGATAGGGCTGAAGGATTTACAGAGCAAATTCTTTAGAGAAAGCCAGTTCATTATGTTACAGTAATGGAGACTTATTTTAGGCTCTCTTGTAGTTTGAAATGCAGTGTGGTTATTTCTGTGATTTCTGGCTATCTTTTAGTATTCCTGACTTCTTGTCTGGACATACATTCCCCACGGGATATTTCCACCAGGGGTGAAGGACCTCCACCTTGCTTCCATGTGAAGACAGTGCTAGCATTAGGATGAGAGGAGGAAAAGAGGTCTCAGTGCACCTAAATGGCTAGATTTGTTCAAGTTACTTTTTTTATCTGTATCTAGTCTTTCCCCTCTGCTAGTTTCCAGCTCAGGCAGTTGATTGAATGTCTCTGTTATGGAAAATCAAATACATGATCTGTTTATAATAATGTTCTGGGCTAAGATGGATTTGGCATTAGCTGATTTTTGTGCAGTTGGAAGAGGCAGACCAACCAATCTTTCATATTAGGCTTTTGGAACTAAAAAACACTGAATTGAATCTCCTCTTCATTGAGTGGGCACAATGTGAGGAATTATGGTTGGTATTAATCCACTTTATAGACAAAATGACTGCCCTCCTGTGATTGTATGCAACGTAGCATTTAAATTTAGTCAGCACCAGTGTTTGATAGTTCAGGGTCTGTAGGAATTGGTATTTGTGTAGGAGCATGGATTTGTGGATGTGATACTTTGGTACTTATTTCCCAGTTTAATCATCACATATTTGACTAAAACGCGCATACTTTAATTGAGGGACAGCACTAAAGTTTCAGTTCTAAAATTTCCAAAATAGCTACCTGTTGTCAATACTTACAATCATGTTATCATGGCATTTGCCTGATCCTCAGCATAAGAACGCTGCCATGATCAAAACAGTTAGCAGGCAGAAGTGAGCAGTAAAGTTACAGATGAAATTTTATGTGCATCTTTAGTTTTGAGTGGTGCATACTGCCACTTGGTTTGAATTAAAGTTATCTCCAGCCAAACAGTAAGACATCAATTTAATGTTCTCAATGTTCGAGGAAAAAAAAAGAAATTATCCTGAAAAATCTTGAATTACTTCAAAGATATAAAATAGTGTTTGCCAACAGCTACTACTTTGAAATTTCTGAATTGGTAGCAGCAATTCACAATTGTTCAGGACTTCCATATGTAGCTTTTCACTGCAGTTACTCTCCTGTACTTTAAAATAGGAATTTTTTTTTTGTGGTAAGGATTGGCATATGCTAACAGTT